AGCCTATAGCAGCATAACTATAGAGATAGCTCAGACTCAAGCCACTTCCACATTATGGCTCCAACAGTGCTGACTGGAACATTCAGAAGTTTAGAAATCCTTCTGAAACCAATGCCATCATCATGATTTGCAACAATAAGGTCGATAAGATCTTCAGAAAGCTCATCTGATGTTTCTTGTGTGATCCCATAGAAACCTTTTTATAAGCCATCATTTGGGACTTAACCAGCTGATATTATATTGCACTGATAAGGGGCAGCATTGCTTTCTAATTACGGAGAGGTATCGAATGGTGTCTTAGTTTTCCATGCCTTTTTGCACCTCCCTTTCTTCATGTGTTCAAAACTTTTTCTTTGCCATTCCACATTATTACACATAACTTAATATCTGGAGATCTATAGTTTGATCTCTTTGTATGTGTGGATTGCAATGATTGCAATCAACATCTAGTGAAATGTTATGTCAGCAGCACCTATAAAAAGATGTTAACTGAGAAAAATGGGGGCATGTTTAATACTGATTTTACCCGCCGTAAAGCAGTGACAGAAATTGTTTAATGTTCACCAGATATGTTGGATAAAACAAGCTTTTGTTATCTGAATGACTTGTTTTCTTTGTCAACAAAGTCTTTTGACCAAATTGGAATATTAGTTTTTGTCCTAAACAAATCCTCAGCTGTTATTTTGACTTAATTTTATTATTAAATAACAAAGTTTTGTTGCAATTTATTTTTGAATATTTACAGTAAGTTTGTTCAGTTTGTGTTTTGATGACACAGCTCTGACTGCCTCTTTCTTTCTTCTCCACAGCTCCAGATGAAGCACCAATCGACACTAACCTGATTGAATTTGACACACAGTAAGCTGCTATCCCCTCCTACCTCCACCTGTCAGTCTTTCTCCTCATCAGCTGCCTTTCTGATTGGTTGCTTCTCTTGGACGGTGCTGGCAGCAGAGAGGGTTTCCTCCCTGCCCCTTGAAGCATTATCAGTGATGAAGCCATCACCCGAGCCTCAGCCTTAATGCATCCTAATGCGTGTTGCTGTTGGAGCTGCAGGAAATGGGCTTTAAACTGGAAACTCTTCCTGCTGTCAGCAGCCACTCTGGATCTTACTGATTATTATGATTGCAAGATTGCTTTAAGACTCTATTTGGGAGTTTGTCTTGCTCAGATGGATTCAATGTTCACTTTATTTTCAGTAAACTTTCTGTTGTTCTCTTTGAAAGCCCTTTAGTTGAACTGGCCAGAACTCATAAGACAGTCTCACAAGTGACATGGTGCCTGTTATGAATTTATTCCTAGATAAATGTGGAAAACAATTGGGTTTTGGTTTGTTTGTGATCCATCTTATACAACATGCCTGAAAAGGAGTCAGAAGACACATTTTTCTTTTATGTTAGTGTAACTAAAATCCATCCTCTCATCAGACTGGACACTGTGCTGATCCACAGTCATCGACGCCACTTCAATTTCTATCTACTTCAGAAGCTGCTTTCATCAAATGCGTCCTCTGCTTTGAAATAAGAGAACAAACTCAGACAGAGTCAGAGATCAGCAGATGTTTTCAGATAAAGGTGCCAATGTTTGAGCCTCTCATCTGACATGGATTGGTATCTGTACTGTTACCTTTTTACAACTCACCGGCTACTTTATTAGGAGCACTTTTTCAGTGACTGGTTGATAATAATCACCTAGCAATTCAATGCTTTTAGTCTTCTTGAAGTGGATAGGATAAGTTGCTGAAGTTCTTAGCAAGTGTCAGGATGGGGAAGAAAGGGGGACTTAAGGGATTTTTATATAAAATTCCATTAATTTCAACCAAGGCTTGCTGGACATCACCTCTTAACACACAATGCGTTGAACATTGCAGCAGCAGGAGACCAAACCAGATGCTTAGATCAAAGGCTACAATTCACTCAAGCTCACCAAAACCTGACAATAACATTGGAAAAGTGTTGCCTGATCCGATGAGTCTTCTAGTTCAGCTGCAATATACAGATAGATAGATGATACGGAGTTGGAGTAAACATCATGAAACCTTATAATGTGAAGGACACCCCTTACCCTGCACCCCTTAGTCTCTAATTAATTCCCTTGGACATTATATTGATTGATTGACTTTCATTGATCTCATGGTGGAGAAATGTACTTGTTACATCAGCTAATGGTCAAAGGAGAAGAAGAAGGTGGGAAATATACTGTATAAACAGTGCGTCCACATGACAGTTTTTTTTTTATATCTTATCCTATAGATGTTGCTGACAATGTTCTTCCCTCTATGACCCCAGTGTACTCATCCACTTTGCACTAGCACACACAAACGATGTCTGACTGTTTTTTTTCTTTGGTTAACAAATAATTCACTTAACCCAAACAACTATCAGTCACAAGATTTCAATCCAATAGAGCACCTTTTGGGTTGTGAGGTGGATGGTGGGTAGATTTGTGGTATGCATGTTCAAATCTACAGCAGCTGTGTGATGATAGGTCAAAATGGATCAAAATGGATCAAAATCTCAAAGGAATACTGTCCTAAGATTAATGATGGTAGGGCATAAAGGGGTCCAACCTGGCACCTACAAGGTGTACCTAATACAGTGGCCGGTGAGTGTACACCTTAAAAGTATCAGAAACATATTTGTTTGTTTATTCTCAGACAGTTTACATTTAAAATAAAAACCCATCAGGGATAAGACCTGGGCTCAGGTCTGTTGTATTTGATGCCTTTTAAATCCTTCATCTTAGCATGGTTTGAATATAAGGTTAACATGTATGCAGATGATATTGTGGTTAGTACACATGGTTGCCTTAAGAAGTAAGCTCCAAATGAACCCACATACTGCCTTATGCTTGTTATAGCTTACTCAGAGTGATGTTTATTGGCATCTTATATGTCTATAAATGTTTGTCCATTTTCCTCAAAGTCTACAATTTCTGTTGTAGTGCCAAATTTAAACTTCGAAAAACTTCACTTCTTTGACAGACTGCTTTGTAAATATGTAGGCTGGAAGTTACATCAGTAGGACAATTTCTGTTTGTGATTGTGCAATTTTTATCAATCCATCGAGGTGACTAAACACTATTTGTCCTTTAGAAAGCCAACCTGGGTATGCTATTAAATGCATTATTTGAAAAACTGGTGGTCAAAGGCGCCATCATAGGCTTGCCAATGAAAACCTGTCAGCAAAAAAAAAAAAAAAATCTGTTTCACTGCAACATTGAAAGACTTTCTACCAAGGGTCTTTAAAGTCTCTCTTGATTAATGAGCTCTGTGTTTTAAGGACTGGTTAGTTTGTTTCTGATGTGTCTTAGTTTGGGACATCATATGGACAGAAAGCCCAACATATATTTAGATCTACACTGGCAGCCAATACTATTCTTATACATAGTAGAGGTGGATTTAATGTTAAAACACAAGTACCACTAAAAGAGGATAAGACAAAAAGAAATATTTTCAGTTTAGAAAAAAATCCTTTGTCTATGTTATTTGAAATTGAACAAAACTACCATATCCCAAAAAAGTTATACAGTTCTCAATGATAGATAAAACATACGCATTTGATAACACAGTAAGAAGGCATTTTGCTTTTTAGCTGGAAAATTGGTATGCTCCTTAGGCTATTCATGGACTATAGCATGGGGTGTTTCCTCATAGCTGTTGGCCCAGACTTTGGCCTTGGTGGAGATCATTTTATTCTCCTTCATCTCTTGCACCATCAGTCTTGGCAGTGCGGCTGTCTTTTTTGACTTCTCTCAATCTCCTGAACTTTTTTTCAACAATATTTTGTACCATAGCCAACCCCCCTAAACACCAGATGTCATTTAAACATTGGGTTTTAGACTAAATATGGTCAGTCATAGTCTTGATTTAGTTCAAAAATCATTTTTGAAAATTGGTCGGTCTGATTTTGTCCCTTTAGTCCAATAATAGACTTTGAAAAGATGCTGCAAACCCAGTTGTCAATGTCTTTTCAATGATCTGAAATTACAGCTTTTCACTTTTCAGCAAAATATAGAGGTTGTTTGGACTTAGATCATGCTGCTACAGATTTTCATTTAGAATTTTTTTTGAACCATTACTTGCTTTAAACAAACTGAAGAAAGCTGCTACACAGCAGAGTCTAATGTTTTAGATCTCTAGTTTTGGTGTATTATGTTGAAAGTAAAGTGTTAATTTAGCATCTTAGTCAAATTCAGCCATGGAAGAGTTTCATGCAAGAATACCTCCAAAAGCTGGTGTTAAGTTGAAGCAACACTGTAAACAGAGTTATCAGATATTTCCTAGAATTTTTATACTGTCTGTCATGCGTTTGCTTAAAGTGGCTCAAATCTCAAAGTTTTAAAGGCAGCAGACAATTTTGGTGTGTGAGGTTACTGGATTCAAACAAGAAAATGCCAAGCTGCTGAGTAGATAGCTTGGATTGAACCAGTGGTTTAAGGTGTTGTTTGTCATAGGGGCAGCTCCTAAAAGGTGGAGTAAGATGGTTGAGCTTAGCAGAACTCACCACTCTGGTAAAACTCTCGCACTTGTATGTAGCTTACCACCATTAATAGGTGAACGATTAACACTAGAGTGCAATATTAACTTTTGATGCTACACATTACACTTAGATACTTTTTACCCCCTTAAGAGTTAAACTATAACTGTTAAGAGTTGCAGTGTAGAGAAATAAAATTTTTGCATTTGACTGACAATGACTTGAATTAAGACTAACGAATTTGCTGTGAGCTCTTCACCCTGAGGAGAGCTATCCATAACAGATTATAGACCTTAAATTGTGCCAAAGAAAACTCACAATTTCCAATAGTATGAATAAGTTCACACCCTTGCATTTGTTAATACAAGTACATCTAAGGATTTTTAAATCTTTTGATTATTGATGTTGAGTCACGTCTTTTCAGCAAAATGAGGTAATTAATAAAGTTGAAAGACATCTTTAAAACTAAATCTTTCATTGTTTCAAATATTTGGATTAATTATCAACCACATTATTATAGGCATTAGGCTAAAGATCCTCTTAAACACTGAACGAGGTCCTATCTAACACTGAGTTCAATTCTCCATCCTTCAGTGATGATGACATCATATTCGAGGACTTCGCCCGCCAGCGGCTGATCGGCGCAAAAGATGAGAAGGAAGAGGAAGAGGAGCCTGTGGACTCACCAAAACCTGATGACAGATAAAGGCGATGGGTGCCATCGCCCTTGCTGTTGTTGTTTTGCTGCTCTTTGTAGTGTGATGATGGCAGAGGTTAAATGTAGACCGAGCCACAGTCTGGACACCCTCCAAACACTCGGTGGTGGCGTGTTTGTGTGTTTGTTCATGTCAGTCCTCCCTCTGCGTCCCGCGGGGTGTAGAATACCACAGCCTTGTGTCGTCAGGCCAAACCCCGACAAGAACTCTGAGTCGGCACTGTGGTGACCGCTGGAAGCATGCCTCTCTTTGTTCTTTGTATTTCCATTAGAGACCAAATAGGAGTACAGTTATTTTGAGATTAGCTTCAGTATTTTGTGCGCAAGGGTCTTTATAAACAAAAAAACACTGCCAACTTCAGATGATTTGCAATGCTCTACCACCAGATTAACATCCGCAATTTAGATGGTTACTTATGTTTGCAAATACCAGTGGCTAGGGAGAAGACAGGCAAACAATTGCATGAAATATATAAATTTTTTTGTAGTTTATTGAAGTTACAAATAGTAAATGAATCTTTTTGTTACATGTCGGTAATTTTTTAAATCATCATCGTTATTGTTAAAAATACTTTCCAAGGTCATGAAAGCAGCAGATAGTATCTGTCACCAGACATGGAAATACTGCTGCAGTGCTTTGGTTAAAGAGGGGCTGCAAGACCCACTTTAACATGGATGTTGTATCTAAACACTGTGAGCCTTATTCAAAGATGATTATAATTCTTATAACTGACCCACACTGACACCACAGAGGTCTAGGGAGTACATTTTTAATTTATGGCATTCCTGATAAGCCCAAATATAGTTCTGACTTAAAGGAAAAGCCTTAAAGGCAAGAGCAATGAAAAGTGGCCTTAGCTAATTGCAGTCATTATAAATGGTTCAACCAGTGTACAGATTAATCAGCCATTACAATATGACCACCCTAATTGATTTGATACCTCACCTACAGATGCTAGATTGGATTGCAATCTGAAGACTTTAAGGCCAGAACAACAACATCCCAAAACTCTAACTGGTGTCTTGTATTTAAAGCTTGTTTACATTTTGATAGAAACAACGAGCCATAGGAATAGTTTTTCACTGGGGAGGGGTGGACATGGTCAGCAACAATGTTTATGTTTGTAATACTTCTTATGATAGGATTTAGATTTAAGTTGCAGCCTTTGTCCAAAGCATCTGGTTACCCATGTTTTCTCATACTGCCTGTGCAAATTCTTAGTTATCGATGTCAAGACAACCACACAAAATAACTTAATTTTAGGCAACCAGACATTTGTTAATTTTTTTTGTATTGGTTTTAGCAATGTGTGAAACAAAACAATGCCCACTCAAGTTATTAGATCTGCATCTGATGTAAAGCTAAAAGAATTTCTAAGCAGGAACATCCTGCCTACAGTTAAACATGGTGGTGGCAATGTGACGGTCTGGGTCTGTATTGCTTTTTTAATACCATAAGCACTTGCTTTTGTTAATAAACCCACAAACATTTCTTACTCAAAGAAAACAGGAGAAGGTTCAGTCCAGATAGGGTTGCTAAGCAGGACAATGAGCCAAAAGCAGACAACCACCTCTGAATGGCTCAAAATGCTGGAATTTCAATTCAATTTATTTATATAGCGTCAATTCCCAACAAATGTCATCTCAAGACACTTTATTAAATGTTATTTATTGATCTTACATTGCAGAAATTTACCTCTGCATTTAACCCATCCCCTTGAGGAGCAGTGGGCTGCAATCGTGGGGGGCTGGGTAACACTGTGGGGTTAAGGGTCTTGCTCAGGGACCCAGAGTGGCAGTGGGGCTCAGACCCAGAACCTCAGGATTCCAAGCTCGATGCCCAAACCACTAGGCCACCACTCCCCTTTACAGAGACATTTAAACCCAATCATACAGTCAGATTGGTTCCAAGTGTTCTATTTACGGGAAACCAGCTGATTGCATCGACTCATTGACTCAACGGTAATCCCTCACACCAAGTATCCAATTTGCGACACTGGAGAGAAAAGACCTTTTTTAACAGGAAGAAACCTCCAGCAGAACCAGGCTCAGAGTGAGTTGCCTTCTGCTGTCTAGGGTTCAGGGAGATAGAAGCAGACATAGAAAAAGAATAAGAGATACAAAAACTAATTGCTAACTAGCTTCATAGGCGACCCTTTCCAGGAAAGATGCTGTCAGGCAGACAAGCTCCGAGCCAG